CCCCCCCCCGAACAGCCCTGAAACAGACTCAGGGGCACTGGGATGCGGTCTGAGGTGACGGTGACCGTGGCAGCCGCAGCCTGGGCACTAGCCGACTGGCCACAGCTATACCCTTGGGGTGTTGCTGTGTCGAGCCCTTCACGGGTGCCTTGATGGCGTTTGAGCCCCTGGAGAGCGCTGCGGGTTAGGCACTATCAAGGAGGTGGTTGTGGCTCAGAGCTGCCCCCTGGTGGCCATGACTTGGGAGCGACCTTGGGAGGCGCTTGAGTTGGAGCAGAGGCCTTTGCTGGGCTCAATCTGCAGTCACCGGGAAGGCAGAGGGTTCGAGCCAGAGCCTGGGGAAGGGGGACGCCCCGGTGGAACCCCAGGCCCTGCTGAGACTGCAGGCCTGGCTCTCCCCCACCCAGGAGGCTCCCTGGTCCCCTTCTCGCTCGCCCCTGCCCTGGGGTCCTGGGCCTGCTGCTGTGGCCGGTTGCATCCCTCCCTCATCTCCCACCCTGTCTGGCCTCCTCCCTAGAACTACTCTGGAGACCTCGGGGTGCGCGTGGCCCTGCACGAACTCTACAAGTACATCAACAAGTACTACGACCAGGTGGGCAGCCTGGCTGGGGCCCACGGGGCGCGACAGTCTGGCCCTGTGACTCAGGCCTTCGGGCCTCCCCCAGCCCAGAGCAGGGGTGGCTTGGGAAGTGGCCTCCTAGTCCTGGTTGTGCTCTTACTGTCCCCCTCCCTGTCCCTGTCCTCGGTGGCCTTGTGAGGGGGAGGGGGCAGCTAGGGAGTCTTCCAGGGCCTGAGATGGTGCAGGGACCATGCTGGGGGGGGACACAGCTGCCACCTCTGTCCAACAAGGCCTTTCCATCTGGCACTTGTCACACACGGCCACCTCTAGGGGTACAAGCCTGGCCAGGCTGCATAAGCCACCACAGAGGGGGCCTCTCCGGGACCCCTGGGTGGGACCTGCAGCTCTAAGTACCCGCCCGCCAGCCCGCCACGTGCCTGATGGAACCGGTCACTGGGACGCTCGTGTGGTGCCAGCGCCTGGCCGTGGGCGCTCAGCAATGCGGAGCCTGCCTCGCCGCCCCGCCCTGGACGGCAGGCACTTACCCGCAGGGCACCTCCGAGTGAGGCCTGGGCCCTCCACCGCTGCTTGGCAGGGTGTGGGCCCAGGCACAGGGTAGGCCGGCCCCTTGTGAAGATGTGGGGGCTGTCGGCCCCGCCTCCCCAAGGCTGCTGTCCTTCTCGTTTGTGGCCACATCGTCCCCACCACCCCTGTCTGGTCAATGTCGGGTCCCTGGTCCTCGCCTGGCCCTGGCACAGGAGTCAGGGAGAGGGGTTGCCTGGTGAATGGGCAGGTGGGCTGGGGCAGGGCAGCAGGGCTCCTGAGGGGTCCCTGAGGAACAGGCTGGGATGGTGGGGGCCAGCCTTCTCCCCAGAGGATTGGCCGTGCTGAGGAGGGCGGGATCTGCTGCCACAGGTGCGGCACCCACGTGCCACTAATGCACGACCAGGGTCTGACTTGGGACGGCAGTTAGAAATGGCACCTCGGGCTGGCCCCACGGCCTAGAGGTCGGGGCAGGTAGATCCCACATGGCCGCTGGTGCTGTTCGAATCTGGGCCCTGGAGGCCTGAAAAATACTCGGGGTGCGTGGGCGCATACCCCAAATCCTGACTGGATGGCGGGGTGGAGATGGGATTACAGCGTGACCACCCCCTGGGGCCACTCTCCCCTCTCTGGTGGACACACGTTCCCGCTGGTGGATGGGAAATGAGAACTGGTGCCCGCAGCCCCTGTTCAGTGCATCAGAGGTCCCCAGCACAGCCGGAAGCGGGCTGCCCGTGGTCGCCAGCGGCTGGAGGAGTGCCCTGGGCCGGGCCGGCTGTCGGCAGGTCAGGTGCACCGTGCACACTGCCCACTGCCCGCTTAGTTCTCCACTCCCGATGGGTCTCCGTACGCGATGCACGTCGAGGCCCATCTGCTGCCCTCCTCCACCCCGCTGGTCCTCACAGCCCCCTGACGGCCGGCCCCTGATTTCAGATCATCACCGCCCTGGAGGAGGACGGCACGGCCCAGAAGATGCAGCTGGGCTACCGGCTCCAGCAGATCGCAGCCGCCGTGGAGAACAAGGTCACGGATCTGTAGCCCAGAGCCCTGCCTGGGGGCCAGGACGGCCCGGGCCGCCACGGAGCCCGCCTCCTTAGACCCTGTAGTGACTGACAAGCAGAGTTAGTGAAAGGCGGCCCGTTTCCTGGGCTCTGGACCCACCTCATGGACTCCAAGGGCAGTGGGGTGGCCCTGCCTGCTCCCCAAGCCCAGGACTCCGTGGGCTGCTTCCGTGTGACGTGTCTCCCGGGAGCAGGAAGCTTGGGACCAAGAGCTTCCAGAGGATGGCCGGAAGGGCCCGCAGGTCCCTGGGGAGTGCGTGCTACTTGTGAAGACTGGCCGTGTCCCACCAGGATCAGACCGGAAGGCGGCCCCACCGCCTGTCCTCTGCCACCCCTGACCTCAGTCTAGTTGCCTCTGGCCCTGCTGCTGCTGCCACGTCCACGGTCCGAGGTGAACGCCTTCCCTAGGCTGCTGCGAACTGGCCCGAGCCCGGCTGGCTGCCCCAGGCCACCCTGCCCTGGTGGGGGGCTGCTGCTGTGGGGGCGGGAGCCGCAGGGAGGGGCGGCCCCGCTGACCGGCTCTTCATTAAAGGATAACACACTGCGTGGGCTGGTGTGTGGGCCTGGGGGCGGCGGACAGCCACGGGAGGTCTCGCGACTCCGTGACCCTCGTGCCGTGCTCTCCTTGGCTCCTGGGCAGGGCCTGCTGGGGCAAAGCTGTGCAGGAAAGGGAACCCCATCCTGGCTTGGACTGGAGGTGGCCCGCGACCGCTGACCGGCTCTTCATTAAAGGATAACACACTGCGTGGGCTGGTGTGTGGGCCTGGGGGCGGCGGACAGCCACGGGAGGTCTCGCGACTCCGTGACCCTCGTGCCGTGCTCTCCTTGGCTCCTGGGCAGGGCCTGCTGGGGCAAAGCTGTGCAGGAAAGGGAACCCCATCCTGGCTTGGACTGGAGGTGGCCCGCGACCTGAGGTGGAGGGCCCCGGGGCTTCCTTCTATGCAGGCGCATATATAATACACGTTTTTAAATTCGCTAGGGGGCACGTGTACTCACCAGTGGGAGACAGGGAGAGGGGAAAGCACCCCAGCACGGGGCATGGCCACGTCGCAATCCCTGCTCCACTTCTCCATCCTGTCATGATTTGGGGCATGAACACGCACGTGCCTGGTGTACTTTACAAGCCGCCACATCTGGGGCTCGAGCCACAGGGTCGGCTGTGTGGGGTCCGGCTCCCCAAACCACTAGGTCACAGGGCTGGCCCGGTTTGCGTGTTCTAACAGATCTGCCGTGTTTATTAGTCCCCATGTCACATGTTCAAAGAGTACATCATCAGGACGCTGGAGTGGCGGCTCCTGGACACCATGCGGACAATGCTCATGCTGTCACATGTCACGCTGGAGGCGTAGCTGCCGACAGAAAAGAGGCCGTCAGGGGGCAGGGGCGCCAGCCGGCCGGCCGTCACGCGCTGCTGGCTCAGGACCAAGCGCGGGAGACGCTCCTGCCAAGTCAGCCCTTCAACCACATTCACAGGATTGGCTTTGGATAACGGCGTCGCCCGGCAAAGCTGGGATGACCAGGGTGGCAGGTGGCAGTCCCCACCATGGTGCTAGCCCTGCTGGGACTCTCGGGCTCCGGTTAGACAGTCTGTTTTAATGGCGATGAAGAGCTTTATTTAAAAATAGGCTTCTACCCCCTTTGACTGTACCCACCTACTCCAGTGGGTGCCATTCTCCCCCTACTGGGAGAGGTGGAGATGGCGGGTGTCCCTGCGTGAAGGAGGGAGCACCTCCGCCCTTCACACAGGGCCTAGACCCTTTGGACCAGCCCTGCCTTAGCTAACTCGAGGGAGACGGACTCCCTCCCTCCCTCCCAGTCAGAGGACTGTCCTCACCAAGCAGTGTGGGGACAAGTCGTGGCCAAGAGCTTCTCAAAATTTTTAACTGCAGGTTCGAAACGCTGATCAAACCCTGATAGATTTAACTCAGTCACACTGGGCAGGATCAAGTGTTTGAAAGCTAAAGACAAAATAGCTTCGAATCAGCCAGAGAAAAGTGACGTCACCGTCACCCAGGGGAAGACTGAAATGACGGTTTCTCACAGGACACCCCGAAGTCCAAGAAGGGGCACATTTTTCATATGCTGTGAGAAAAGTTAACACACCCGAGAAAAGACCCAAGACCCCAAATAGCCAAAGCCATCCTGATAAAAAAAGGGACCAGCAGTTAGCGTAACGGCTATGGCGCTGGACTCTCATGTAGTTGACTGCAGTTCAAGTCCTGGACCCGGTGGCATAACCTCATGCCGGGCATGTGTGCATGCATGCCCAAGATCCCAAGACGAGAAGGATTGACGTGTGGCCATCCCCCCCCGGGGGGGGGGCGATTTCTCACTTTCTGTCCCTCTGTCTCTGACTTTCTGGCAAGCACATGTGCCCTATAGCAGAAACCTCTAGAAAAAAGAGCAACTGGGGGCATCTCACGACTGGCTTTCAAAATATGTTACAAAGCTCTAGTGATGAGAACAGCATGGCACTGGCATAAAATCATACATGGGCCAAGAGCCCAGAAATCAGCCCACACATTTATGGTCCATTGATTTTTGATAAAGGTGCCAAAGATGCACAAAGGAGAACTTTCCAACCCAATAGATGGTGTCGGGAAATCGGTACCCACGAGCAGAGGAGCGAACACAGCTCGCTCTCGCTCCTCATACAAGGACCGACTCAGTGGATGAGCAACTTAAATGTGGGCTGGCTGGGGGCACAGTGGTTAAAGCACTGGATCCCACATGACAGAGCAGTTCAAGACCTGGGCCTGGCAGCTGGACAACCACCCTGGGCACGTGTGTCCAAAACCCCACGAGGAGAATGGAGAAGAGGAGGCAGCATGGCCATTCCCCTGGGGAGTGATTTCTTTCCCATCTGGCAAGTACACACACCCTATGGCAAAAACAAGGATAAACAAAACACCAAAATGTGGGCTAGCCAGTGACATGGTGGTTAAAGCACTGGATCCCATGTGGCCAGTAGCGGTTTGAATCCCAGATCCAGAGGCTTGGAAAACATGCTAGGGACATGCTAAGTATCTCTCTTCTTTCCCTTTATCTCACCCTCCTTCTCTCCCCACCAGCAAGCTCATATGCTGTCTGGCAAAATTAAGAAAAAAGAAAAAAAACCCTCAAAGTGTGCCAAGCCTAATTACGTTGTGAATATATCTGTCTTGAACACACCAGAAATAACTTATGTGAACGTAGATATTCATTCTAAAAAGAACAGGAGAAATAGCTGCACAGCACCCCACGGCGTGCAGTATGGTAGTGATGTGAACAGCCTGGCGTCTGGGCAGCTCGGTAGTTTCTGGCATGAACAGAGATTTTCAAGTCGTTGGCTGCGTGCCTTCCGAGTAAATTGCATTCAGTGGCACTGGTGGCCCAAAGGATATATCTATATGTGTTTTGTTAGCTCTTTCCAAAAAGGTCACTGTCGGCATTGGGAGAGGCTGGTCTGGAGGAAAGATTGGTCACACACAAAAGCCTCTTCTGGGCGCTGTGTAAAGTCTCAGGGAAAGCCACCTAAGAGTGCCAGCAACTGGAGGAGGAGTCAGAAAAATGGCCGACTAGGAAGTCACCGCAGATGCAGCCCAGGGGCTGGACGGTGGCAGGGCGAGAGCACAGCGTTCCACGGGCCAACATGGGCTCGTGTCAGCTCTCTGGACATGTGACGCCCTCCCCGGGACCCCTGTTGGGGTGCCTATCTCCTCCTACCTAAGGAGGAAATAAAAACCCAATGTTTTGAGTGCCTAGTGAAACTGGAATAGGGGCAAACCTCGCAGTAAAGCTGGGATGCTGTGGAGAGGGAGGGGTATGAGAAAGCACCCCCCCCATGGCCACACCTTCTCCATTCTCCTCGTGGGATTTGGGGCACACCTGCCTGGTGTGCTTTTATTTTATTTGAGGATTTTTCTATAGAGCTGTGCGCTTGCCAGAGAGAGAGACAGAGACAAGAGACAGCAAGAAGTCACGCCCCAGGGGAATGGCCATGCTGCAATCCCTTCTCCATTCTCTCGGGATTTAGGGCACGTACACACACATGCCCAGTGTGAGTTTCGAGCTGCCCGGTCTAGGACCCCAGCTGCGGCCTGCCACGTGAGTCCAGTACCTTACACTCCACCACCTGCGTGCTTTCAAACTGCCCGGTCTGGGACTCCAACCAGTTATCCATGTGGGATCCAGTCACCTTAACCTCCATCCCACCTGCTGGCCCAAAAGTTCTCTTTAAAGGCATAATTGATTCATCACTCTGTCCTCAAAGCATCTTGGAAAAACCCTACCATCCCTTCATCCGCTTTCACGTAGACCTTAAGAACGTTCAGGGAACGTGGAGGCCTCGAAGCAGGGCCTACCTGCCCGACGGCTGGCCGTGTGACCTGTGTTCCAGGTGGCAGCAGCTCTGGAGGTATGGGTAGCTGCTCCCCTTCTCCCACATGTACACGTGCAGGGCGTTGTCCACGGAAGTGGTGAGGACGCGGAGAGAATCCTTCAAAGAATAGCAGGAGTGAGGGGCTTGGGAGTCAGCCCCCAGAGCAGGGAGGAGAAGGGCCACCTACCACCCACAGGCTGCAGATGGCGCCCTGGTGGTCCTGGAACCGCTGCACGATGAGGCCACCAATGGTGGACAGGTACAGGTAGGGCCCGCTGTCGAAGACGATCATGTCGTCGGTGCCGACGCCCATCCAGTTGGGACTCTCCAGGTTGTCCGACAGCAGGAAGCTGGCCAGCTGCTGCGCTGTTTCATACAAAACACACGCGCAGACATGCAGGCTCACCCGACCCGTGTCAGGATGGCGTGTTTGTGGTGCATGAAAACGCGTGCCTCCAGGGCCTTCCGCTTAGTGAGGGAAAGGAGGGTGGTCCGTGGCCTGACAAATACATGTCACCGACCATGGCTGGGGGCTACGGCAGGGTCGGAAGGTCATGAGTAAGAAAGCTCGGGTAGGGAGCAGCAGCGGGCGTAATGGCTGTGTCGCTGGACTCCCCTGTAGTTGACATCGATTTGAGTCCCGGACCCGGTGGCTTAAACTCATGCTGGGCGCGTGTGCGTGCGTGCCCAAGATCCCGAGAGGAGAATGGAGGAGAAGGGATTGCGGTGTGGCCATCCCCCCTGAGGGGTGATTTCTCGCTTTCTGTCTCTGTCTCTGTCTGTCTGGCGAGCGCACGCGCCCTATAGCAAAAACCTCTCCAAAAAAAAAAAGCTCAGGCATCAAGGCAGAGGGATGTGAGAACCCAGATCCTAAAACACAGGACTCGAACCCGCCTGTCCCAGAGTGGCGTGCAGACTGCAGTAGACAGGCTTGAGTGGCCCCAGCTAAGGGAGCCCCTTTGCACAGACGGACCCGCACAAACGCAGAGGCCGGGCGGGAAGAAGCGGGTTGGACGGGGCTGGCCCACCTCGGATGGCGGTCTTGCCCTGCGTCCTCTCGGTGAGCAGCTCGAAGGTGGGGAAGCCTGTTTTTCTGTTGGGGCCTCGCTGGCACATCATGGTTATCCTGCTGTCCCTCCCCGGGGCCCAGCAGGCTCGGCAGCAGGACGAGAACGGCAGCGGGACGGTCTGATGGGTGCCGCTCAGCAAGCCCTCCATGAGGAACACCTGGGGGGGCGTCACATGTGGTCAGGGCGGGGGGCCGCAGTGCCACGGGCAGGAGCGACCCCAGAGACCCCGAGTCCTCATCTGGGGCCACGCTTCTGCCGCTCATGAAGGACTGAGCAGCGGCCTCCAAGGACCGCTGACCTCCAGGGACCTCTGGCCTCCAAGGACCCGTCTCTGTCCTGTTCATGGGGAGAATGGAGTCCCTGAAGCTGCCCACGGGTTACAAAACCCTTTTGCCGCTTTGGACCCTGCTCAAGACAAGGCTGGCAGCGTAGATTCCCCTTCTTAGGGACCAAAGACAGTTTTTATGGGTGTTTTTTTTTTTTTTTGGAAAAACTTTTGCTATAAGGTATGTGCATTCACCAGAGAGGCAGAAAGCAAGAAATCGTCCCGCAAGGGGGGGCCACACCACAATCCCTTCTCCTCCTTTCCCCTTCTTGGGGACACATGCACATATACCCAGCGTGAGTTTCAAGCTTCCGGGTCAGGAATTGAATTGGAGCCAACCATGTGGGAGTTCAGTACCTTAACCACTATGCCACCTTCTGGCTCCTATTTATAGGTTTTAAATTTGCCCAAGGGCACATGTACAAGAGAGAGAGAGAGAGAGAGAGGGGGAGGAGAGGGGGAGGGAGGGAGGAAGGATATGAGAAAGTGTTCCCTCCCCCGTGGGTGATGGTCATGCTATAATCCCAGAGAATGGTTTCCTGACCCAGGAACAGGTCCCATTTGTGACATGGCCTTGAAGAGTGGGAGCAGGGACCCGGCCCCTCTGCCCTAACCTGACGTCCGCAGAGTCCGGCCCTCCCATCCCAGGCTGAGGCATGGAGCAGCACCTACCTTCGACGTGAAGTTTTGAAGTTTCCCACAGGCGAAGACCCACTTCTTGTCGGGAGAGCAGTGCAGGAGATCGACGCTGAACTGATACCCCGTCACTTTCGAAACCTGCTTTAACTCGGGCACCGTGAAGGTATAGATGTCTCCTTGCGAATCCCCCACCTGAGACCAGAGCATCAGCGCCATGTTAGAAAACGCCGTGGCGTCTGTCCAGGGCGGCTGCAAGCCACACCGCGGATTCTTCTGTCGTGCGACGGCGAGCCAGACCTCTGAGCAGTCCGCCTCGCAAAGTTGGGGTGATCCGTGGGAGAAAGCTGCCCGAGCACTCTTAACAAAGAGCTATTCATCAGGACCAGCAGTTGGCGTAATGGCTATGTCCCTGGACTCCCATGTAGTCAACCGTGGTTCGAGTCCCGGACCTGGTGGCTTAAACTCATGCCGGGCTCGTGTGCGTGCGTGCCCAAGATCCTGAGAGGAGAATGGAGGGGAAGGGATTGCGGTGTTGCCATCCCTCCTGGGGGGTGATTTCTCACTTTCTGTCTGTCTTTTTGGCGAGTGCACATGCCCTTTAGCAAAAACCTCTCCCCCCCAAAAAAAAAAGAGACAGAGAGAGAGAACCTTTCATCAGCACGCAGACACTACTTGCTCAGTCTCCTCAAACCCCATCTTCCCCTCCACTGCCCTGTTCAAGTTCAGTAATACACACTTGAAAGAAGAGACATAGGGGCTGGCAGGTGGTGTAGTGGACTCCCACATGGCCAGCTGCTGTTCGAGTCCTGGACCTGGTGGCTTGAAAATCACAGTGGGTGGGAACCAGCAGTTAGCGTAATGGCTATGTTGCTGGACTCCCACGTAGTCGACCGCGGTTCGTGTCCCGGACCCGGTGGCTTAAAACTCACGCCGGGCGCGTGTGCGTGCGTGCCCAAGATCCCGAGAGGAGAATGGAGGAGAAGGGATTGCGGCGTGCCCATCCCCCCTGGGGGGTGATTTCTCGCCTTCTGTCTCTATGTCTCTCTGTCTGTCTGGCGAGCGCACGCGCCCTACAGTGAAAATCTCTCAAAAAAAAAAAATCACAGTGGGTGTGTGTATGTACGTGCCCAAAATTCCAGGAGAACAGAGGAGAGGGGACTGTGGCATGGCCATCTCCCCTAGGGGGTGATTTTTCACTTTCTCTCGCTCGCTCGTGCCTGCTCTCTCTTTCCTGGGAGTGGATGTACCTTACAGCAAAAACCTTAATAGTAAAAGAGACAATAATTCAGGGGGACTTTTTTTTAATGGCTGGGGATGGGCCAGCAGGTAGAGTGGTGGTTTAGGCACTGGGTCCTACACAGTCACTTTCATAGTTTGAGTCCCTGACCCAGTGGCTTGAAAACCATGCTGAGAATGTGTGCATGCCTGCCAAAATCCTGCAGGGGAACAGAGAAGGGATTGCGGGGTGGCCATCCCTCCTTGAGGTGTGGGGGTTGATTTCTGTCTCTGTCCCTGGCGAACACACGTGCCCTATAGCAACAAGAACGGCTTGGGGCAGTCGAGGCCAAGATGGCCCAGAGAGCCACATGATGGTATGGTGGTATATCACAACTCTCAGGGTACAGGTGGGTGTGACAGTCAGGGGACCTCGCCGCCCGTCACGGCAGCAGGCACCCCTCCGGGCACGGGGCTCGCTCACCAGTAGGAACGGGCCGTCCTTTGTGAGACAGGCGTCCACAGACACACAGCCACGAGGCATGGTGAGGGCAGCCAGGGCGTCCTCATCCTGGCAGTTCCACACCTTGATGGTCCCCTCCACGTCCACGGTCATCACCAGGTACATCTGAGGGAGGGTCACCAGCTTCTCGATCCTGGACTTCTGCACCGGACTGGCCCAGAGGATGGCGCCCTAGAGAATGCGTGGCACCATCTGGATTGTCAGCGTCCCGCACCTAGCTGCCGCGACCCGCACAGGTCCATCCGGGAGTCTTAAACCGGACCCACTTCCTGCTTCTAGGACGAGGACGGGAACCTTCTAAACCACTCACTTATGGAGGGGAGGGGTGGACACACACCAGAGCTACGCAGGATGCAGAGGCAGGGACTCACTGCATGGCAGGTGTGAAGACGCCCCGATTGGCCGGCAGGTGACATGGTGGTTAAGGTGCCAGACTCCCACATGGCCAACTGTAGTTCAAGTCCCAAACCTGGCAACTTGAAACTCATGTTTGTGTGCAAGCTCAAAATCCTGAGAGGGAGAGGAGAAGGGATTGCAGTGTGGCCATGCCCCAGAGTGGGGGGGGGGGGGCTT